CATTTTCATTTATTTCATTGTTCTCAGACAAGTGACATGTTTCTGGAAACCTTGATCTTGAACTTCTTAGAGCACCTTCCTTAGTGTCAGGTCTGTTAAAAAAAAGTTTATCAGTAAAAACTGTCCAAAAGCAAAACAAAAAATCCATGTTTCCCTGTAATTTCCTTTAGTCAAAAATTGTCCTGTTAGCACAAATGCCCTTACATTTTAATGGCAAGGATTTAAGATGATGTATTCATTTTCTTCATTTCAAATAGTATCTTTAAATCATACAAACTCCCCCATCCCCATTTCACTTTTGAGGTCCTTGGTAAAGCAGTCCACTTCCATAATGCATACATTCAAAGTTGGTAGAAAGCCCTTGCTTGTTTTAAGGAGCTGTATTTGCAACCCTGAAACCTGATCTCCCTGGTTTCGCCCTCCAGTGCAAAACAAAATACACAAGTCTCAAGATTACTTGTCTTCTCCTTTTCAAGGAAGCTTCTCAATACCTTCAACCATTCCTTGTGACATTTGAACACCCCATATTTTTCAATTCTCTAAATGCACTCTAGTTGGTTCACTTCCGTATTTTACATGTGTCCTGACATGAGCCATACACACCAATACTTCCAATCAACAATGGTTTGGGGGAACAAGTGTTTATTAGCATATAATAGGTTAACCTAAATAAATGAATTTTCATGCTAGTTTTGAAATTTGTTCAAACTTTACCTAAATTCCAAATTAAATTATACAACTTGGCTATCCAGGAACCTCTGGTATTTTTGAGAATAAGAGTACAAAAAAAAAAAGAAAAAGAAAGTAGGAGTACAAATAAAATCTTTAAAAAAAAGAAAAAAGGGGGCGCCTGGGTGGCTCAGTTGTTAAGTGTCTGCCTTTGGCTCAGGTCATGATCCCAGGGTCCTGGGATTGAGCCCCATATGGGGCTCCCTGCTCAGCGGGGAGTCTGCTTCTCCCTCTGCCTGCTGTTCCCCCTGCTTGTGCTCTGTCAAATAAATTAAAAAAAAAAAAAAAAAAGACGAGTACATTAAAGGGATTCTCTCTTTTTTTTTTTTTTGCGGTGAGGGGGATTTAGTTTCATAACGAAGATAGGAAGTATAGTAAAACCACCATAAATGTTTCCTGCAGAGCAAAACTATGTAGCACTTTCTAAAATGAATAAGTCATCACATTTTAAAGGTCCCAATTCCTTGAGTTTTAGAGGTAAACATATCTAAGGATCACTAATTTGAAAAAATTGTACAAGAGCTTATTTATTATGGACCAAAGGCTTTACTTTTGGGTGTTTGTCCTATTTTTTCAAAGGATGCAATAAACCACTAAAATGCTGACAAAAATGGCACAACAGAGAATCTGACTTGAAATCTGTACCATAGGCCTGTTTTGGTGACAAATACCCCTCCCATAGATAAAGATTTTTAGACTTCCCCCAAAATATTTTCTTTGTTCTATTAGCCAAGTTGTTTTCAGGTTCTAAACCTCCCTTTCTAAATTACTACTGTTCTTAAGAGTTTTAGTTAAGTTCTAAAATATTTGCATGTGAGAAAAACAAGTTGAGACATACCATTTTTGCTTACATTCTAAATGGGTCACTGTAACAGAAAGGTCATATACTATGAATCTATACATTTGTGTCATATTTACATTTAGCCATATTTTGAACTGAAATGTCCATAGTAAATGCTTTTTGAATATTAAATACAAATTCCACAATTTGAGAATAGCTCAGCTTTTTGATAAATTTGATATGGTTGTGGAGATACAAAAGAAAGAAACTCATAATATACCAGTCTTAGATTTCTCTTTGAGCAAATCTTGAGCCACTACACATACTTCGGTGGTTATTTTTCTTACTCTCCTGCTAAAAAAACTTCAATGACCTCCCTTGCCTCAGAATGCTTCTCACACTACGTAAAGGTACCCTTGGGGCTGGCATGAAGCTGTGGTAGAGGAACCACAGGGTCAACAAGATGTATCTTCTCATATGTTCAAATTTACTAATATTGAGGAAAAAAGTTAATAAAAAAATTTAAGCATTTTTACAGTAAAATATTATGGAACAAATTATAAAATTAGTAGTTTAAGGTGTATTTTAGATAAATGTAAAGAAATTTCTTAGCCAGAAGCATATCCCATCTTTCTTTTCTAGAGGGAGATACTCTAGATTTCTATCCCTGGCATAGTTATGAATTGGATTAAGAAATAAAAAGCAACTAAAGGGAATGAGGCTAATAATAGTAAGTTGCTACTGGATGGTAAAAATGTGATTTTTAAATAGAATTTTTTGCCTTTTCCAAGGTTTCTATGCCTATGTATTACTTTTATGCTAGGAGAAATTAAGACAAATCTTTTTAAACAGGAAAATCCCCCCCCCCTTTTTTTTTAAAGTAAGCTCTACACCTGAAGTGGGGCTTGAACTCATGACCCCAAGATCAATCAAGTCACATGTTCTACCAACTGAGCCAGCCAGGTGACCCAAAACAGGAAAATTCTTAATTTTTAGATCTGAAAGTCAGTTTAATTGCTGCTAAATATTTATAACTATAAAATAAACTAGATTTGTTTTTCTTTATATAGTTCATTAATATGGTTTCAAAATTAAAATAGATTTATCTCTGTTTTTATACTTACCTTTTGAGGTTTGGGGGGCTGGAGTGGAGAAATGACAGCAAAACCACTCAACAAATTCTTGAATTCTTTTCAACACGCCTTTGAGAACACATAGATTGCTCCCCTACACTTGATTTTAAAATTATCTGAGTTTTGAAATTACCTGTTCAGTTCTTCCCTGATAGTTAATTCTTCATTATCACTTCTAAAGATCCTGAACCCCGTAGGATTTCCATTTACAGATTTCCAAAGGGGGTTGATTATGTGGTTGTAAGTCTGGTTCAAATAATTTTTATTTTTCAAGGATTTCTCTCTCTCCTTTTCAGAAAACAAACTTTCCTTTCCCCGAGTCACAAAAATGATACATGCTTATTTGTAATCATGAAAATAAGATCCACCCCCCTCATCCTAATAAGATTTGTCTTACACCTGCAATAAATCAGTAATAACAGTTTAGCAAATGTATTCGTTTAAGGAGTCTGAAAATATCTGACATATCTTTAATCGTGAACAATTTTCTAGCTGATTAAATATTCATTACATTATTTTAAAGAGCTGCACAATATTCCACTCAGCATGTTAATCAGCCTTTTATTACTGGACACTTTAAAAACTCTTCCAAATTTTTAATATTATAAATAATACTATAATAAACACATGGATTACTTCTTAAAAGAGTATATTTATTAATTCCTTTTACAATATTGAAAAATTAAAAGAGAATTTATTATTCTTTTAAATATGCTAAAATCCTAGAAATGTATATGGCTAGTCCATACTGTTATAGGTGAGATAGAGAGAAAGAGAGAGAGGGAAGCGGGGGAAAGGAGGGAGGGAGGGGAAGAGCTTTTCATATAACAGAGGAAAAAAATCAACTATATCACTCATCAGCATAAAATTAGTATTTAAACTTTGGAACCTGATACTTAGGCTGATGTTTTCAAGTTCTGGGCATCTTAGTCCATTTGCTTTTCTTCATTCTGTTTATAAAATTTTAAATTTTTATTCATATGCTAATATATTTAAAAGGTCAATATGTATTAATAAATGAGGCACAATTAATGATGAAGCGTTCTGTCCCTCAGGTGTGTTAAGTTAGAGAAAAAGGTTAAGAACTACAGATATAAATTGTTCATACCACAAGAAGGAGGAGTAATGTCTTATTGTTAAAGTAAGGAAACATTGACCACACACAAGAAGTCTGGCCCATTTTTAAGCATGTACAAGAATTAGTTGGGGGAGAGTTGTGGTGGGTGAAATAGCATAAATAAAGGCAAAGAGAAAAACTGGATGGATCAAGACTAGTTCCCTTGAAGAAAAATGGAAAAACTTAAAGTAAGAGCAAGATCATGAGGTACAAGCTAAGGAGTTTAAATTTTATCCTATAAGCAAAGGTAGTGTTTTAGGAAGATTAAATTAGTGGGATATATACTATAACGAATGAAACAATTACAGGCAAAGAACTTCTCAGATAAGATGCTACAGAATAGGTGACAAATAATGAAATACTTAATTATGGCAGCAATTCCAGAAGGGAGGAGTCAAAGATGGTGGTGATTCTTTTGGGTAAATGACAAACATGAGTAAGGTCAGTGTCTCCTGGAGCCGTTAGCATTGACAAGCTAAACTGATCAAGTGGAAAACAACTTCAGAGCCATGAAAGCACAATCTGTAAAAACCGGATCATTACACATGTACCTATTCACCAACTATTTAAACATTTTGTTTATATTCTAAATGGTGTCAGATGGAGGTTCTAAACCTTGAGTCAGATTCGTAAATATTGTTCTACCTACAAAGGTCAAATAGGCTGAAGCACATACCACTGTCAAGGTTCTCTTAAAGAAGTATGAAAAATTAAATCTGTAGAGCAAGTTAAAGGCTTAAACAGCCATAAAATCTAGCCCCTATAAACTCTTCGATCCCCTGAGCTACAAGTCTCCTTGTATATTTAATCATGGCCACCCAGACCTTGCCGTTCCTTGTACACACCAAAAATGCTTCAGCCTCAAAATCTTTGTAGTTGTTATTTCATCTACCTGAAAGGCTGTTTTCCCAGATACCTAATGGTTTACTCCTTATCATTTTAAAAATCGTTGTCTTACTAAATATCATCTCCGTGAAGCATTTTCTGACCATAATACTTAAAAACATCTCTCTCCTGCCTTATAAACACCTTTATTCCATCCTTTCCCCTTCCTTGCATTATTTTTCTACATAGAACTTAGATCTGACACACCACATATAGTACCTATCAGTTTTTTTTTGTCTATTCTATTACCTATGTCTCACTCCCAAGACTGTAAGCTCTATGAGGGTGGAAATTTATTTTTGTTTGGTGTTGATCCTCAGAATTTAAACAGAATAAATTTGTACCTCTCTATATATAATGTTTCAAATCTAATTTTAATGCTCCCTGTCAAACATTAGCATTTTCACACTGCCACAAGATATTCATGAAAGTATAAACTAAATAATATAAAAATCTGCATTAATTATTTTACAATTTAAAAATTCTCTTAAGGAATGATGTACTTAAACTTTCTTAACTTATACTACAGGACAACAAATACCCTTCTTCACTGTTTGTTTCATGCTAAAATGGCATTTTTAATTGATGACAGGGAAACAAAAAAATCTCCTGTAATTTACTATCATATGCATTAAATACAAAAAAGAAAAAAGTTTTAGTGGTACTATAAGAACTTATACCCCTGAAATGCTATAATATAAGCATTCCCAAAGATTATAAAATAATGAAATGTGGAAATAAGCAAACTCTGGGGTGATTCAGAATTTCTACCACTTCCTAAAGATATTCTTTAATAGAATAATCCATGTGGGTGGTTAAATTATAAAACAAAGATATACAAAATACTTTTAAATAACAAGTTAACCAGATTGAGTAACATTTTGTGTAAAAGTAGCTTAAAAGCTTAATTGCTTAAAATCTAATCCTACAGCATATGATAAATAGAAACAATAACAACATTTTCCAGGTAGTTTATATTTCTTCAAAACACAAAAGTTCAATCACAAGAATACAATAAATATATTATTCAAAGTTTCACAGAATTAAGGGGGACCTATAATCATTGATACGCTAATTTAAGTATTTTACTCATAAAGTTTTTGCATGAATTCCATGTATTAGTAATCAAGAAATAGACCCAAATAGAAATTATAAATGTTGAATTTAATTTCAGTAATAATAAAGCAAAAAAAAAGCAACTAACTTGTCACCTTGCACAGTAACTTTAACATAAAAGGTATAAACTTATTTATTTTGTCAATATTTTCTTCATTGTATATAGCTCAAAAAAAAAAAGACATCAGAAATCTGTGAGATATATTTTTAAACAAACAAGGCAAGAACATACACACTCACATTTCTGGTGAGTTAGTTCTGCATTAAAGGGGCTCAAGTTATTAGTAATAAGACAGAAATTGCAAGAAATCCTTTGACAGAGGTAAAAAAAATAATTTTAGCTGGAAATGATGATGGTCTCATTTCTTCTCCTAGATATGCAAATAATATGTCTAAATACTTACTAGAGCCAAATCTATCTCAAAAGTTTGGGACATTAGTTTTTCTCCTTTTTGTTAATACTCAATGAGAAAAAACACTTAGAATTAAAACTTTTTCGATGAATAAGGGATAGTAATATCCACCTGCAAAAGGAAAAAAAATTGATTTAGAATGTCAACTTCTAAATAAATAAATAATTAACTTAGAGATCACAGTTTATGAAAGTATAATCTTGCTTATCCAATTATGGCTAACCTGGGCATGTATCCATAATGATACTTAGTGGCTTACAAACAACATGTAATTCTGTAACAATCAAAAGGATATATAATTGATTGAAGAAAACCTTTAGGGTTGAGTACAGAATTTAGTCTAAGGCCAAATTTTCGTATCTACCATCACATATCTGTATGTGTGATCTTAGGAGATCTCCATTTAAATATAGGATATAAACTGAGTTATTCAACTATTAAAATATTCCTCTTGCTGCCTCCTGGATACTTGCCTGAGTCCTCTGAATTAGCTCCAAACTCAATCCATATTCCAAGTAAAAGATTTAAGATGCTCAATATTGAAATTATTTGGCATCAACTTAAAAAGAGACTGAATGAAAAAAATGAGGATATTTTCCAAAGAAGATGGAAAAATGAAAATTTAATACACACCCATACTTATTTTTCTTTGTAAAATAGCCAAATTTAGGTTATAAAGGGTATAACTTTTATTTTACTATTTGCGCTTTATGTGTTCAAAATTACACAAAGATGGAAGTGTATTAACTCATACAAATAAAACTTCCCAGTTCCACTGAATTACCTAAAATGTGTGTTTCATTAGGTACTGATAGGCCATTTCCTCTTCTTTAGTAAGAGACTGGAAAGAAGCTGTATGCTGTTACGATAAATTTCAATATAACAGTTTTTCTATAGTTTCTCACTTCGCCAATATTTCAATTTTTCTTTAATCCATTCTCAGGATTAAAAGAAGAAAGTTTTCCTTTAGCTGTAATAGCCCCAAATATTCCTTCTTCACATCTGGAGCATCCAGATATAAAGATTCACCTAGTAAATGTAAAATCCAGGTTTTCTCTCTGTCATTTAGAAAGCAGATTAGACTAAATATAATTTTCTAAAATTAAGTCAAAATGTACTTAGGAAAACAAAAAACAGAAAAAGGAAATCTAATTCCTGAGTTGTTCTGGAAAATACTGCACAAACTTTGTAATTTATTCAATAAATATTTCTAAGCATTTAGATGTTAAATCCTGGAATACTTTTAGTGGAATTAAAAATCATCATTTATTTGTTACAGTCTTTCACAAAAGAGTTGAAATAAAGGAAAACAGGTTAAGAGCTTGATGAATGATTTTTCAAAGCACCAAGGCAATACTTATTTCCATGTAAATGCTGGCATTTAATACTAATACCATATATATGGTATGCTGCTTCCTTATTTGGGGGAAAAACTGTTCTTAAAAATGAAAGCTTTATCTTATATATTTTCTTTACCTTCAGATTAGAATTTAAACAGAAGATCCTCAAATACAATTCTTTAATTTACATCTGAAATACTTTTAGAGTTTCTAAAAGAGACAATAATAATTGGAAATGATTCATTAAGAACTGCATTTATTTTGTAGATTTTCTGCTTGGTTACAGTTGAAAAGGTTAAGATAGTCCTTGCAGAAAAGACCAGAAGTGTGGTACACTACATAAACACGCCTGTCTTATCCTGAACATTAATTTTTAGTTTAATGACTTAATAAAGTAACAAAATAAAAAGAAAATAAAGAAAACATTTTCCTGGGGCGCTTGGGTGGCTCAGTCGGTTAAGTGGCTGGCTGCCTTTGGCTCAGGTCATGACCTCAGGGTCCTGGGATTTCAGGAATTTAATTTACATGTTTTGATAGTTCCCCCTTCCTTTATAAGGAAATATTTAGAAACATTACTAAAAACTGTCTTCTAAGTTCTGTTCAGAATGTATATTTTATAAATGTACACTTATCTGTAAGATAAGCAAATATCTTCAATTTCATTTCACTAGAGAAACAAAGGGAAAATGAATATTTAAGTAAAAATTTCAGTATTTACATTGGATATAAATATGCAATAAAATAAGTTTGATTCTATATAAGCTCTTTTTTTTTTTTTTTTTAAAGATTTTATTTATTTGACAGAGAGACACAGCAAGAGAGGGAACACAAGCAGGGGGAGTGAGAGAGGGAGAAGCAGGCTTCCCGCGGAGCAGGGAGCCCCATGCGGGGCTCGATCCCAGCACCCTGGGACCATGACGGGAGCCGAAAGCAGACGTTTAATGACTGAGCCACCCAGGCGCCCCTCTATATAAGCTCTTTCAATAAACTCTTGATGGCATTCAACACAATTATTAAATTGCAATTATATTATTTTATTTTACTCTATTTTTAAAAAGATTTTTTTTTTTAAATGTTTATATGTAAGTTCTACACCCAACATGGGGCTCGAACTCATGACTCCGAGATCAAGAGTTGCATGTTCCTCTGACTGAGCCAGCCAGGCACCCCACAATTATATATTTCTTTAATACACATACATTGGAAAAGTTAGTACTTGTTTTTATAGAATCATTCTAAACATAACAAGATTATCAATAATACTGAAAATAGATTATCAATAAAACTGAAGATATATCAGTAATATTAATACATATTAAACTGTAAAACATATCAGACTGTAGAGTATGGCCAACCTTACTTCAGCAGCACAGTTAATACTGGAGATAATTTTAGAATCTTAACGCCAATATTTACGTGCTGCTAAGGCACTGCTGACATCACTATCATAAGAGCTATGAATAAAAAGAAATATATTTTCTTCAGAAGATCAGATCCTTGTATTTTTGAGGCAGCACAATATGGCCTGCACCTTTTCAAAATCCACAAACCATTATGTGCTGCTACTTTACTCCAAGGTTTTTGTTTTTTTAAACACACATTAGCACCTAAAGATACAAAAAATTTTTTTCTTTTATAAGAGAATACATTAAAAAACCCATGTTTAAAGATTATAACCGAAAAAGTATGCATAATTTGCTATTTCTTAGAAGCTTTAAAGTAGCATAATAAAATTTATTTCTACATCAAATGTTTAAGAAAAGCCTACTATGTGCTAAGCACATTGCTATAGGTTAGGAACACAAAGATGTGTAATATGCGAAAATGAAAAGCATTTTCCCCCCTTTGTCAACTTAATAAGCCAATACAGCTAAATATTTGATCAAATTTTTGAATGTTATAATATATAGAAGTTATTTTTTCCTTTTATAAACAGAATGTGAATTGATAAAATTTGGTCTTTACCTTGGTAAAAGTGTTAATTTACAGACAGCATTGCATTCCTTGCAGTACACCTTTCAAAAGACCTCTTCATCAAGTAGGTAAGACTTCATGACAAGGGAAAAATAAGAAATGACATACAAAAGCTCAGTTTCAATAAACTTAAGTGGGCAAATGCAAATATACTTTTATTTATTTATATCTATCTATCCATCCATCCATCCATTCTGAGCTAGAGTGCCTGCATGCCCATGAGTTGGGGGTGGGGTAGGGGTGGGGTGAGAGGAACAGGGAGACAGAGAATCTTAATCAGGATCCATGCTCAGCATACAGCCCACAGGGTTCATCTCACGACCCTGAGATCATGACCTTAGCCAAAATCAAGAGTCGGACACTTAACCAACTGAGCCACCCAGGTGTCCCCAAATACACTTTTAAAGGAAAAGCCTGCTTAAGAGTCTTTCTTTCTCTCTCCCCCACACCAATCTCCTCCCACCCCAAAGGTAATTCCAGATTATGAAGCCGTGGCAAGAGGAGTTAACTCTGTATTCAGAAATGAGAAGTAAAACCGAATCTTGTGGCTCTTAATCTTCCTATATCCTACCTGCCTCCACTCTTCACTAGGCAAGGAAGTATACTCCTAGTTTCCACTTATTCTGATGTAGGAATGCAATTACTTCTCTAAAAGATACCATAAAACTATCATCATTCTAGTTCATGCCTTGACAACCTTTGCTCCAGTTTTCTCATCATTAAAATGGCCATGCTAAAGCTATGGTATAGGTGTGGAATAAGGAGATATACAGTGAAATCTGCCCTTCTTCTCCTATCTAATTGTTTACAAAAGCACAAGTGTCCTACATTCTACATTTTTTGTGAGCATCTTCCCCATTAAAAAATATATGTAGCTAATCTCCTGAGTAACCCCTGTTTCACATACTACTCTGCTCTATTACTATCTCAAATTTCTGCACAATTTTTGAGTATGTAACCAAAATAAATCTTTCTGCAATGACTGGGGAAATACACAATATATATTTGTATTTATCAATTAAGGAACAGTTCCTTAGGCTATCTCTCACACAAACCCATTTTCCAAACAAAAAATGTAAACATGACATTTTCAAATATGCAAAATTTATATATGTACATTTTTTCATTTAATAAATATCTTACTGAACACCTACTATGTGCCAGGCACTGTCCCAGTCATTACACTAGTTAGCACACTAGTATATAGACACAGTCCCTTCTCAGAAAAAATTTAACATCATTTAAATTATAAGATATGAAATCATTAAACAAATAACTATTCAAGACTATACATTGTTCTTGTCCCCCACAGTATATATATACATTAAGTCATGTATACATATACATGATAATAATTAATACATGATAATTCCAAAATCAAGAAGAAATCCACTGGTCACTTCAATTCCAATCTTCTTTTTTTTTTTTTTCTAAGTCTTTATATTTTAAACAAAGTCAAAGGTGCCAAACTTGAAAGAAATAAATGTGAATACTGCAAAATGAAAGTCACTTTTTTTTTTTTTAAGATTTTATTTATTTGCGAGAGAGACAATGAGAGACAGAGAGCATGAGAGGGAGGAGGGCCAGAGGGAGAAGCAGACTCCCTGCTGAGCAGGGAGCCTGATGTGGGACTCGATCCCAGAACTCCAGGATCATGACCTGAGCCGAAGGCAGTCGCTTAACCAACTGAGCCACCCAGGCGCCCATGAAAGTCACTTTTATAAACCTTTTTTTAAACAAGACTTCACAGTAAGAATGTCTTCATTTATTATTTTTAAAAAATTGTGGTTATAATACACATAACATAAATTTTACCATTTTATACAACTGTGTGGCATTAAGTCCAGTTACATTGTATAACTATCACCACATTCCATCTCCAGAACCTTTTCATCTACACCAATTTTAACTATACCCATTAAAGACTGTCCTTCATCCCCTCAGCCCCTGGACACCACGATTCTACTTTCTGTCTTGATGAACTTGCCTATTTTAGGTACCTTATATAAATGGAATCATAAAATATTTATTCTTTTGAGTCTGGCTTATTTTACTTAAGATTACTTTTTCAAGGTTCATCCATGCTGTTGCATATATCAGACTTCCCTTTTTACAGCTGAGTAGTATTCAGTGTGTATATATACATTTTGTTTGTCCATTTATCTACGGACATTTAAGTTGCTTTGATCTTTTGGTTATTATGATTAATTGCTGCTATAAACATGGTATACAATTATCTGTTTGAGTCCTGCTTTCAATTCCTTTGGGTATAATCCCCAGGATCACATGGTATTTAATTCTATTTTTAATTTTCTGAAAAATTGCCATACTGTCTCTATCATTTTACACTTCCATCAGAAATGCAAAAGGGTTCTAATTTCTCTACATCCTTGCTAACATTTATTTTTTTCCTTTCTTTTCAAAAAGAAGAACCATCCTTACGGATGTGAAGTGGTATCTTGGTGTGGTTTTGATTTTTCATTTCCCTAATGAGTAGTCTTTTGAGCATCTTATGTTTATTGGCCATCTGTATTGTATATCTTTAGTAAAATGTCTATTCAAGTCCTTTGCTCATTTTTTAACTGAGTTGTTTGGTTTTGTTGTTGTTGAATTATAAAAGTTCTTTATGTATCCTGGATATAAGTCTTAGATATATGATCTCCCATTCTGTAGGCTGCCTTTTCACTCTGTTGATAGTGCCTTTGATGCACAAAAGTTTTAAGTTTTGATGGAGTCCAATTTACCTTTTTATTGTTGCTGCCTGTGGTGTACTATCCAAGAAACTGCTATCAAGTCCAATGTCATCAGGTTTTTCCTATGTTTTCTTCTAAGAGTTTTACAGTTTTAGTTCTTACATTCAGGTCTTTGATCCATTTTAAATTTTGTATATGGCATGAGGTTTTATTTTATATGTTGATATCCAGTTTTCCCAACTCCCTTTGTTGAAAAGACTGTCCTTTTCCCATTGAATGTTTTTTTTTTTTTTTTTTAAGTAAGCTCTGTGCCAAACGTGGGACAAACTCATACTCCTGAGATCAAGAGTCATATGTTCTACCAACTGAGCGAGCTGAAGAGTCTTGGCACACATATTAAAAATAATTTCATCGTATCTGTGAGGGTTTATTTCTAGGCCCTCCAGTCTATTCCATTGGTCTATATGTTTGTCTTTAGGCCAGTACCATACTGTTTGAGTACCATGACCTTGCATTAACTTTTGAAATCAGAAGTGTGAGATCTCCAAATTTGTTTTTCAATATTGTTTTGGCCATCTGGTGTCCCTTGAGAGATTCTGTATACATTTTAGAGCAGTTTTTCTATTTCTACAAAAATGTCGTTGGGATTTTGACAGGGATTGCACTGCATCTGTAGATCACTGTGGATAACAATCATCTTAACAATACCAAGACTCCCAAAACATGAACATGGGATGTCTTTCTATTTATTTGTGTCTTAAGTTCCTTTTAGCAATGTTTTGTAGTTTGCAGTGTAGAAGCCTTTCACCATCTTGGTTAATTTTATTCCTAAGCATTTTAATCTTTTTGATGTTATTGTAAATGTAATTGTTTTCTTAATTTACTTTTCGGATTGTTCACTTTTATTTTTATTTATTTTCTTTAAAAGATTTTATTTATTTATTTGAGAAAGAATGAGAGAGAGAGAACATGAGAGGGGGAGGGTCAGAGGGAGCAGCAAACTCCCTGCTGAGCAGGTAGCGGGATGCGGGACTCAATCCAGGGACTCCAGGATCATGACCTGAGCTGAAGGCAGTTGCTTAACTAACTGAGCCACCCAGGTGCCCCCGGATTATTCACTTTTAGTGCAAAGAAATGCCACTGATTTTTGAGTGTTGATTTTGTATCCTGCAACCTCACTGAATTTGCTTATTAGTTATAACTTTGTGTGTGTGAACAAGTATTTTTCTTTTTTTTTAAAGATTTTATTTATTGGACAGAGACACAGCAAGTGAGGGAACACAGCAGGGGGAGTGGGAGAGGGAGAAACAGGCTCCCCGCTGAGCAGGGAGCCCAATGTGGGGCTCGATCCCAGTACCCTGGGATCATGACCTGAGCCGAAGGCAGATGCTTAACGACTGAGCCACCCAGGCGCCCTGAACTAAGTATTTTCTACATATAAGATCATGTCATCTGTGGCCAGAAATAATTTTACCTTATAAATCTTTTATACCTAAAACTGGTTCAGAAGCTGTTTGGCAACCTTGGTCTATTCATTTTCTCATTCTTCTAGAAAACCATCAGACAGGTGTCTCTTCTCTCCCTTCAAATTTCCATTCTCTCTCCTTTCTTCTCTTTTTTTTTTTTTAAAAAGATTATTCATTTCGGAGAGAGAGAGAGTACACAAGCATGACTGGGGGGCAGAGGGAGAGGGAGAAGCAGGCTCCCCACTGAACAGGGAGCCCAACACGGGGCTCGATCCCAGGACCCTGGGACCACGACCCGAGCCGAAGGCAGACGCTCAACCAACTGAGCCACCCAGGTGCCCCCCATTATCTCTCCTTTCATCCTCATTTGCACTCAGGTAACAGAAGCTATTAAAAGAGAATTTCTACATCTATTTACCTACATATATCTGTGCCCATATAATTCCTCCTTCTCTATATAATGGATAAACAATCACTGTTCATAAGACATAAACCTCTTATATACTAGATTTTATCCTCTTTTGCTTACTTAAGGATATTCCTCTAGCACTCTCCCCTGCATCTTTAGCTTTTCTACTGGATCATTCTTACCAGCAAAAATACTATAATTTCTCTCATCTTAATTTCATTTCTTAAAGATTACTGCAATTTTATCACTGATGTTTTAATAAACACCCTCAGAGGAAGATTTTTTCCTATTTTTATTTCTGTTTTTAACTGAGATACTAAAAAAGAACTGCTTTCTATTTGAAAGCCTGATAAATTTAAGCTAGTAGCAAAAGTATCTTTCCACACTCCAGAAAAATATGGAAATTCTTGACTTAAATGTATTAATAAGCTGAGTAATTCCAGTGGAGCAATTGCAGCCAGATAAATCTCTTTACCTGTGTTTTTTTTTTTTTTTAAGATTTATTT